CTTTCTGTGATTCTATGATTTTGTGATATCCAGCTTTTCCTGACCCCTTTGTCACATCAGCACAGAACAACCACTCTAGCCTGGTAAGGGAGCTATACAGAGAGGTATCAGGAACCTTAGTCCTCCCAGTTAGTTGTTTCCCAAAGAAACTCACTAATGTGGAGATACAGGTGGCAGAGATATATCCAACTTAGGTACTGACAGATTTACATGTGGACTGACCTCTTCTGTGTAAAGATTTATGGGGTAGAAGTGATGTCCTAAGCCTTTTTCCTCCAGTCAGCACACCCTCTATAATAACAACTGAGTCAGGTCACTCCCATAGTATCTTAAAACCACAACTCTAAATCTTCCATAGTATTTCTTTGGAAGGAAATAACAGAGTTTTTCAACAGCTGAGTAATTAATGAAATGAAGGAAAAAATTCTGCTGAGCCTTTCCATACATTCAGCTTTAGACTAAGATGAAACGTGAAAAAGAAACACTGAAAATATTTTTTTTTCAGAATATATTAAACTTGTGAACTTCGGGAATTACTGATACAGCTATATCACTTGTACATGGCACAAACATTAAAGTGTAGTTCACTTTAATGTGATGGCCAAGCCATCCATGTTAAAAACAAACCAGTGGTCCAAAATCATAATAAGCCCATTACCGGCTCTACTGGATAATAATAACATGACAGTGCATTTAATAGGTATTGAGAAAAGCTATTTATGTATTATCACTTGCCAAAAGAATTGCTTCCAGCTTTTTTCACACTGCTTTTCCAAGAAAAGTAGGACCTCCAGCTAATTTTGCCCTGTCTGGTGAAAGAAACAACAGAACAAAACCACTCTCTTCAAACGCATCCATTTATTTTGACGCCAATTCAACTCAAACAAAAACCACATTGAGAGAAAAGAAAAGGTCAGCAGAAGAAAGTAAAGCACATGAAAATCTATCACCATGTCTGTCAAACACAGGAAGGCAGAAACATCCAGCAAGCCAACTAACCAGAATCCAAGCTCCACCAGTGGCCAGGTCCAACTGTTTCGAAGGATGGTGTGAAAATCCCGCACAAGGCCTAAGCAAAGGATATTGAGATCTCTGAGAATGGGAATAGGAAGTGTCAATTCACAGAAGTCCTGCTGCTGTGCTGCCTGCCTTATATGAAATGTTCTAGGCTTAGCCAATTTGTCAAGAATTGAACTGACACCCACACGACTTCACTCAATTCTTCCCAATTGAATTTTCTGTAATGAACTGGCTTTTAGCTTGGCTTGTTGCTATACTTACTGCTTTATTCTGGAGAGGTAAAACAGCCCATCACCTACTTGTGTCTTGGATCCCAGCTCCCAACTGTGTATTAACATCCTCCCCCTCACACACTAGGTAACCATCTGCTGATATCACCAGCTGCCTCCTTCTGTGTATCCCCTCAAAAGATCCCCAACACCCTCTCACTGTGATGTCAAGTACTACCAGGACACAGGCCAAAGCATACGCACAGTGCACTGCACTGAATGAGAAAGTAGGCTGAGGTCATAGATCTGCTCTACACAGTTTCCTACTAACCTTTTCTTCTGCAGACAGACAATAAAGCTTTGGAAGAGAAGGGCTACTCTCCAGATATTGTCTCCTGCTTTGGAATAATATCTCTGGGACTTCGTAAACACAGTATTTGAAAGGTTGTTACATTTAGAAATTAAGTTGTACTTAGGTATCATTCCTCAGGACATAAATGCATCATTTTCCTGTACCTTCCTGCATTCCCCCACTAGAAGCTTTTCCTCATCAAAAGGTTCATAGTGAGATAATTCATTCTCTTAGCCATAGATTTCTGAAAGCTCTGGGGCTGAAATATGTATGATTGTGTTTCCTACTTTAGAGAGAGATCATAGAATCATAGAGTCATAGAATGGTTAGGGTTGGAAGGGACCTTAAAAATCATCTAGTTCCAACCCCCCTGCCATGGGCGGGGACACCCTCCACTAGACCAGGTTGCCCAAAGCCCCATCCACCCTGGCCTTGAACACTTCCAGGGAGGGGGCATCCACAGCTTCTCTGGGCAACCTGTTGCAGTGCCTCAACACCCTCACAGTAAAGAATGTCTTCCTAATATCTAATCTAAATCGACCCTCCTTCAGCTTAAGGCCATTGCCCCTCGTCCTCTCACTCCATGCCCTTGTAAACAGTCCCACTCCAGCTTTCCTGTAGGCCCCCTTCAGGTACTGGAAGGCTGCTATAAGGTCTTCCCAGAACCTTGTCTTCTCCAGGCTGAACAGCCCCAACTGTCTCAGCCTGTCTTCATAGGAGAGGTGCTCCATCCCTCCAATCATCTTTGTGGCCCTCCTCTGGACTTGCTCCAACAGGCCCTCTTATGTTGGGGACCCCAAAGCTGAATGCAGTACTCCAGGTGGGGTCTCATGAGAGTGGAATAGAGGAGGAGAATCACCTCCCTTGCTGGTCACACTTCTTTTGATGCAGCCCAGGATACGGTTGGCTGTCTGGGCTGCAGGCGCACATTGCCAGGTCATGTTGAGCTTTTCATCAACCAACACCCCCAAGTCCTTCTCCTTGGAGCTGCTCTCAATTCATTCTCCACCCAGCCTGTATTTGTGCTTGGGATTTCCCCGACCCACGTGCAAGACCTTGCACTTGGTCTTGTTGAACTTCATGAGGTTTGCACGGAAACCAGTCATCTGGAAAATAATGATTTCCTTTGTGGGTGATTTCTCCTGGATCAATAAGGACTTGGGACTTTGGTGCTGCCAGCATGTGGCTCCACCTGACTTCATCATCTTTCTCCTGCTGTTATCCTCCCCTATCTATTGCCCATCCTCTAGCCTGAGTGGCCTTACTGAGCTATAACCCCCTTGGCTTCTTCTCCAAGGAATTGAGTCAGTTTGCCAGGGAACAGAACTGTGGCTTTGGACTACTCCAACTGCAAGGACATCGGATGCATATGTTCAGAACGCTTTTGATGAGGGGGTATGGACTGCTACCTATCAGTGGGGCTGGTGTTGATATGATGAGTATGACTGTAGATGGGTGTAAGTGCATTGTGGATTTGGAGCTGAATGCAGTCAGATCACGATCTGGTGCTATGGACAATGGCTGAAATACCAGGAGACTGATGAAGTAAAATTGGTGGCACAGATCCCTGCCTCAGTGGGCAGCTGCTGTCATGGAACTGCAAAGAGAAGCTGTGAACTGTGGCAGCTCCCTGTATGTACAATAGGCAGGGGCAATAAAAGCCACTAGTCATAGGCCCCAGCTGTAATTCTGGCAGCCAAAAATACATTTCCCAGAAAGGTTAATCAAGCTGGATAGAGAGGAAATTCTGCTAGGGTCAGAACAGTGTGGACTCAGAACTGCATTACATTACAGAACCACAGCAGTCCTGCTGGAAGAAAAGTCTAGTTTCTGTTCTTGCCCATTTGCAGATTGCGAATGAACAACTCTGAACATTTTTCTCTTTGCAAGTCAGTAGTACTTGAATCCAAGTCATCAGTATAATATCCCCATAGTGCTCACGTAGATACCATAGCAGACCACCCAACACTCTAGAAACTGCCAGCATGACAGAATTCATTTGAATTTTTTCACTTGAACATGCTACATCAGCTTCTTTTCTTACAATATAATGGCCCAAACCCCCAGACATCCTAGAAGAAGAACATATTTCAAATATTTTCAAATTAGTTTCCTATTTTAATAAGGCAAAGCACAATCTTTTGCATTTCACTGACATATGCCTGAAGAGGGCTTGATCAAAATACCCTTTTTGTCAAAGCTTTGCCAAAGTCAGGATAGCAAACACATACCAGAGGGGTGAATGTATATTACTCCTTTCTCCTTAAGAGTCTCCTTAGACTCCTCTTGCCATTGTATGATCCGTATCCAAAAGCTAGCAGAGTTAAGTGCTAGCAATGCCGAAGTGGCTTAAAGGTACAACTCAAAATGTAAGGAGGTAAAACAAAGGCTTCTCAGCCTTCTCCATGTGATAAGCCATTGGTTTTCTGTCAAAAGGAGCCTTGTCACAGTTTGAGGAGAGCAGAGTGGATTCAGTGCTTCCCTTTGCACCTGTGAACTTCTACTAAACATTATTACATGCCCCTGCTGGGCTTGTCACAGAGCAAACAGGCTCCTGAGGGATTCCTCAGGAAAAGTGAGGATTCTCCCAGAAGAAGCAGGGCACAGATATGAGGGAATGCTCTGCTGGCTCCTGATGGAGAGGGAGGAAGCAGTAATGCTTCTTCATATACTTCATCTAAGAAGTTGCTGGTGTTTTTAGAGAGGAGACTCGATGCTGTGAACCAGAGCTTCACTGGGTAGAAAGTACAAGTCCTAAGTGCTTTACTCTTGTACAACAGAGCAGCTCAGAACAGAGGCAACTTGTTCAGATACAATGCCTGCATGGTGTTCTAGAGAGCAGAGCAGTTTATACTAACCTAATAGAGCACCTCTCCTCACAAAGAGCCAGTATTGAAACCAGTGTTGAAATACAACTTCACTCAGGTGAAAGGAGGACCAAAGCATTTACACTCGGCACAGAGGCAGAAAGACAAAAATCATGGCAATTAAGGAAAAAGTTCTTTTCTATGAAAAGTATCATGGGTTTAATATCATCCTTTTCAGAGTGGGACTGGAACTTTACATTGAATCCAAACTCACCAAGTGAGACTTCCACAAGTGAGACTTTCTGAGTGCAAGTCCAAACTTTCTCCCCCCATTACTCGAAAGTTTATTACTAGCTACTGTTCATCAGTAATACAAAGCAACAGTATCACACCTCTTTAATCTGCCTCTTTTTTTTGTTTGTTTTATTTTGTGACCTGGTACAAATAACCAGTAGCAATAGTAAAAACAACCATTGCTTCCTGTTGACCCTTGCCAGAATTAGGCAGAACTCATCTATGTTTCCTCCTTAGCATCCAGATGCACTAACAAAATCTTTGATATTTGGTATTTTATCCCTGTATCTTCCCCTGGAAGCTCAAATACAAAACACGATGCTGCTGCACCACCTGTCCCACTACTATAGAGAAATTGAGAGAACTGAAATCCTATCAAGAACCTTTGAGTGCAATGAGGTACTAACTCCACTTCAAATTCCTTCCTGTCCAACTGTCTCACAAGATAGGTAAGAACAGAACTTGTAAAGGTAAATGATTCCACTAAAAGTATTTGATATATGAATACCGAAAGTATTTTCGAGTGGTTATGTTCTTCTGGCAAGACACAATTTTTTCTTTTTGTTTTAATGAAACAAAATGTTTTCTACTTTGTGCACTAGTCTCTCAGTTCCTTGGGAAATATGTTGATTACACCTGAAAAGAGGACTGCTAAAATACATTATACTGTGACTTTAGGGCTCAAAGTCTCCTGAAATAACTTTCATAAAAACTACATGTATATTGTATTTCTAATTTGGAAAAAATGAGCATATTTCACAAACTGATCACCAACATTTATGATGTTATTCTTTTATCTACCCCTGTTTTGAACCTTTTTTTTCCCCTAGATTACAGGTTGACCTAGAATTACTGAGATAAACTTTAAAATTAAAATTTCAAATTACAGGAAGCCTGCATTTTGCTTTTGTAGTCATCAATGTGTAATCAGGAAGTTTCAGAAATCAATGCATTTTTACTATATTTTACAGGCCAAATTAACTGTTAGCTAGGGGACAGGATATGGCAGAATTCCTGCAGTTCTGAAAGTTCTGGAAAGCTGAACCTCCATGCTGCTCAGTACTCATGACAATTTTTTTTTAAATCTAAATTTCTATTTTTCCATACCTACCAGATTCCAGACATAGCCTCAAGTCTTCCAGTGCTCTTTCATGTGAGATTTTATCTGTTTTGTTAGCAAAATTAATTCTTAGTTTCCATCTTACTGACAACCTTCTGGTTTACCACTACTGCTAACTACTTCCATTATTTGTAATGTCTCATATCCAACATCTGAATTCCAGTCAGAATATTTTGATATTATTGGATTATCACACTTGTCAAACTGTGTCTTGATGCCTCCCACTTACATATCTTCCCTGAGGCAAGTTTTTGTTTTATTCCTTGCATTACAGGAATTTGGGTGAATTTCCATCTGAACTGTTTTAACTATTGACAGACTTGAAAGTTTACTGAATTATAGTTCTGATCTAAATTTTAGTGAATGTACAGGAAAGATTAATTTTGGCTGCACAGGATACCCAGCAAAAGGAAAAATTAAGCTCAGAATGGGCTGCAATGTCAGGATCTGAACGCACCACCAAAGCAACTTTCATGAAAACTACAATAGACCCAACTCAGAAACACAAGCAAGAAAGAAGCACGGCCAGGTCATAACATTTCTTTTCTCTGTAAACAGGAAAATCTGTATTGTAACACAGGCAGTAAGCTACATTTTTCTGCTAACAAACACACACTCGCATGAACTCACCAATTTATACCTGAAAAGAAGGTGGCTGCATGTTTTATGATATCATACATGTTTTTTAAATGGTGCATTTTTTTCTAGTCACATAATTAGAAAGAAAGAAAGAAAGAAAGAAAGAAAGAGAAAGAAAGAAAGAGAAAGAAAGAAAGAGAAAGATAAATAGAACGCAGTTTTTCTCAGCTTTTAAAAATACTGTATCCATGAATTTTATTACATTCTCATCTTGGACTAGAGTATTTGTTACTAATATGTGCATTGATAAACAGTGCCCATGAATAACCAGAGGCACGTATGTGTATCTGTATAATGCTAGGTTATATATATACAAAGAAGGTTTTGTAAGGATTTTACCCTATGATCAGATAGTCAGATTCAGTTGATATACTAAGATGATGTATATAGTTATTTATATGTTTATTGGACAAAAGTTAATTAAAAAAAAGTTCAGCCATTCCTACCTCCAAAAAAATTCATTGAATTCCAAATCAGTATGTTGTTCAGTGACTACGTCTACATTGGCAAGTATTGCGGACTACAGGAAAAGATATGTAGAGTGAAACAGTTGGTGCTGAGGATCTGAGGTCCAGAAAAAATGCATTTCAGGTGCTCTTTACTTTGTATTACCTCTAGTGTGATTTCAGGGACTGAGGGTCCATTTGTAGCTGTGGTGCCCTCCTGGTGCATTCCCAGAGCACATCTTCCAGTTAATTTTATCCAGAAGGAACCCAGTTCATGTACTCCAAGACCAAGACCTTGCAAAATAGAGACCATTGGGAGATTCATGTCAAAAGTGCACTCCTGATCCAAATTAAAATGCCAGTGTGAATGCACCCTATGTGAATTCATACAGAGGGAAGTCCTAATCCTATCCCTCTAAGAACTCTCTTTCCACATACCTTCTGGAAGATGTTGGCAACACACTCCCTCAGATGTGTTGACTTCATGCACTGATGAAATCAGTTACTGGAGCCCTTCACAATCTTACAATCTCACAATCTAAGACACTGTCTTCATACACTCTGGTTTGAGCTCCCAACAGCAAAACAAATTTGCAGGGAAAAATGTAACTTTTTAAAAATAATGGAGGCACTAGAAAACTAATGTTCTGATCCCAGAATGTAAACTTTTTTTTTTTTTATTCTGTCAACAAAAGAGATGGAAAGCTGGAAGTTGGCTGTCAGAATTCAGAATATATCTACAATTGTAGAAGTCAGAAATGGTAACAGTCTCTATTAAATCATTGACTGTATTTCTGAGACTCTTAAGGATTGTTCATGATACGCTATTTAAAACTTTGTTCACCCTAGCCCTCATTTGATATTCTCTGGCTAGAGACACTTTTTTCTGTGTCCTTGAGATCTTCGATATCACTGGATCAATATCAGCTATAAATGTTTCTTTGTGAGAAGAAGACTTCGAAACATTTTAAGCTTAATAAAGTCCTGTTTGGGCTGAATGGATGATCAGACCTTTGTGTGCAATGCTTCTCTTTTCTGTCTAAGGTAAAGTGGTTGTTCTGCAACTTAGTAACCTATAGATAGCAGTCAACAGGAATGATTTATTAATATTTTCAGTGAGAGTAGGCTTAATGAATACAAACACCACAGCCATGCAGGTGACTTGACATCTGCCTGCCCACTTTCAGAAAGGGGAAATGAGGCTTTAAACAGTATTTAAGAAATGGATGCTTGAGTTCCTTCAGAAACTTAAAACCAGAAAAGCTTTCTGATAATCTATGGCATATCAGATTCTTATTTTGTTTCATCGTACAATACAAACATATTGCCCTTTGCACCCTGGCAAAATGGATGAAGGAGCAGCATCGGGCAGCAGCAGAGTGGTGCTGAACCACACGGAAGGAGTTACATGATAGGAGGGCACTGCGCAGCCAAGAAACCAGAGAGAACAAAACACAAAACAGCAGCACTGTGTCTTGTAGATCATGACCTCTCCCACGGATTTCCCTTAGATCTGTTTAGATATCTAGGACTCTGCCACAGTTTGAGTCTAAATGTACTGTGAGAAGTTATTGTAACCATTATTTTTTCTTCCTTAAAAGCCTATACTCATAATGCAGGTAAGAATAAGGATAATGCAGAGAAATCCAAGGTAATTAGGAGCGAGCTGGAATATCTGCATGATTCGGCACAGCCTGTGCTGTGATAGCAGTGAAGCGATTACACCACAAAGGCACTCCTACTGGTCTGCAGCCATGTCCAGCTGCTTCACTCATCACCAAAGAAACACTCAATATCAGAAAAACATGGTACTACAGATGAGGTCTAGGTAAAGCAAGAACTGGGGCCACTCAGTGATGGAAGGGCTGATACAAAACCAAATACGACTGTTGGTTCCCAACCTATTCACCTAAATATCATTCTGGTTTCATATGAATGAATTGTATGTTTTCAGTAAAACATCCTGAGGGTGAACATCCCCATCACATACCACAACAGTTCATTACTTCCTTGATAAGGTTTTCAGAAAATCCTGGACAACTAAGTCAAATTTAAATCACTCGGGCTCTTACAGAATCATAGGATATCTCAAGCTGGAAGGGATCCATAAGGATCATTGAGTCCAACTCCCTCACAGGACTTATCTCCTTGATAAGAAGACAGTTGGCTGTGCATGTGTTCTTCTGACTGGAAAACTGATGCCAACCAAAAGAAAAGGAAGCTTTAAATTTTCAGTAAGTTTGGTGTCCATCTTTACAACACTATAAACCAAAACTATGTGAGGTGAACATGCATCTAAACACATCAAACTGCTTGATTTCAAAAGACACAGATGTATGGAAATGTACTGAATATCCTCAGCCACTAGCACATCCATGTGAAGTGCCTGACACAGCTTGCATTCAGTGTGAATTACAGCGACTAAACAGTAACATTTCTCACCCCTCTAGAGATGGAGAGGGGAGGTTTTCAAAGGCACAAATAACAAATCTGAAATCAGTGGGAATTAGATGCTAAAGCTTCCATCTGTACCATTGCATATATTTGCTGTCCATATGCCGCTTACATAGTACTGAAGGGACAGTGCAGATATCTATGTTCTGGCAGCTGAGACTCAATTATGCTGCGAGATGTACATGCTGCATGTACCTATCAGCATTTTTCTTCCTCTCACTGATCAAAACATAATAGACTTCATTCAACCTTCATTAAACAACTACCAGTCATCATTGTTCTTACTTCTCCTAGTGCCAGTTCACCATAATAGTGTTACTCAGAATAAGCCTGAGTAACTCAGAGCCAAGAAAAAAAAGCCAAATTGTCATTGTTTAAAAGACTTTAAGTAACCATCACTGTTGTTGCTGTTATGGGACATTTTGTTTGGTTGTTTGGTTTTTTTTTCTATAAAGAGTTCAGGGAATCCTTTCACTGCTGCAAGCTTCCCAGGGGAGCAGAAAGGGAGCATGGAGGAATTGCATTACCTGTATTGCCAGAAGACCACCGGGCAAAGGACAAGTCTCCATGTACATTTGTTAAAAGACATCAACATTATGGTAGTGGTGTAGACCCAACTTGGCCAAGGTAAGCTAGACAAATACTCCTCACAGTCAAACGTTGAAATGATGGGGTTTTAACAAGAATAGCAACAGACAGCTAACAGGTTAGACAGCAATGTAGACTGAGACATCCAAATATCTGCATTCCAAAAATGGGCAATTTAAGCTTCTGTCTTTTTCACGTTGTCCTAAATATTAATGTGGGAATATATTGGTACCCACAAATCTCTGCACAGTGTTTCGCTGAAACACTTAAAGTTCCAAATGACCATATTTATTTTCTCCCCATCATTTGATAAATATTTACTGTTGGATGTTGTCCCAAACACCCTTTCTGACCTTAAAAATATCACTACTGGCCTAACTTACACTGATGCTTAGCATCCACAAATCCCACAGGCATAAACATGAAAAGTCGGTCCTCAGCTTTTTCAGAAAGCTGTTGTAGAAGAAGACATCTGTCTAGACAACAGCTGAGGGGAAGACCTCTGGGGTATGCTTTCTGAGTCAAGGCTCCTTCTCCCAGCCTCTTACCACAACCAATTTCTTTGTTGGAATACATTGGGGCTGGTGACATTTCCACTGAAACCAGTTCCAAAACATCTTGTTCATCATGATAGCATTAGTCAAAAAAAAAAAAAAAAAAAGAAAAAAAAGACAAAAAAAGACAAAAAAAGACTGACTAGCTGATAGATAGATTGGCAAACAATGATACCAAATCTCTGTTGTTCAGACAGTCAGGTAGGTTTCAAATCACCGTTACTGACTTACAGGAAGGCAGAACATGCTGCTGCTTAGGGCTGACATGGAGAAGTTCAAGGATAGCTTTCAGCTCTGCAGGCTTCCCTGGAGAACAGGAATGGAAGATGCAGATTAGGCATCTACATGGCTGTCCAATGTTTAAAACATGACTCAGGGGCTGGAAACATGCCTTCCTGTTTTTGCTTTCCTCTGCATTATCATGAACCAGCCTCTCTGTAAAATGATCATAGAATCATAGAATATCTTGAGTTGTTAGGAACCCATAAGGATCATTGAGTCCAACTCCCTGCTCCTCGCAGGACTACCTGAAACCAAGCCATATGACTGACAGTGTTGTCCAGATGCTCCTTAAGCTCTGACAGGCTTGGTGCCCTGACCACTTCCCTGGGAAGCCTGTTCCAGTGATTGACCACCCTCTCAGTAAAGAACCTTTTCCTAATGTCCAACATGAACTTCCCCTGATGGAGCTTCATTCCACTCCCTCATGTCCTGTCACTGGTGACCAGAGACACTTGACTCAGAGACAGTCATGCCTCAGCTTTGTCTTCTCCAAGCTGAAGAAACAAAGTGACCTCTGCCACTCCTCCTAAGTCCTGTCCTCGAGGTCTTTCAGCATTTTGGTCGCCCTTCTCTGGACACACTCTGATAGTTTGATGTCCTTCTTATAGTGGGGTGCCCAAAATTGCACACAGCACTCAACGTGGGGCTGCATCAGTGCAGTGCAGAGTGGGACAATCACCTCTCTTGACCTGCCAGCTACGCTGTGCTGGATGCACCTCAGGACACAGTTGGCCCTTTTGGCTGCCAGGGCACATTGCTGACCCATATTCAACTTGCCACCTACCCAAACCCCCAGATCGCTTTATGTGGGGCTCTCTTCAGCCTTCTGTCCCCCAATTTGTACATATAACTCCGTCCCAGGTGGAGAATCCTGCACTTGCTCTTGTTAAATGATGCTGATGGAACTTCCATCCCAAGAGCATGACAAGATGCTGTGATCCCACAGTGACAGGATTAGTGCAAGAATGTATAATGAACTTGAAACAATCATTTTCATTACTCTTATGTTTTTATTTTCTGAATATGCAATCCCTTGGATTATTTGTTGTTCAGGCACACTAGAACCCCGGATTTATCCAAGTGAATCCCACTCTGAAAAGAAAAAAGCAGTGTAGAAACAACCCTTCCCTTATCCACAAGGTGGAGAATGCTTAGGCGGCATATAGTTTGTGTAGCTGTCTTTACATTTTTACCCTCACATTGCAAGCAAGCAAAGGTTTTGGCCAACTCAGGCATAGAACCTAATGAGAAGGTAGATGAGTCCCAGCGACTACATGCCCCATCTCAGAAAAGCAGTCAGAAAGGGAGATGTTTGCAAGCTACTTTTATAAACCCATATTCATGACATCCATTTGGTTTTTGTCTTGGGCAACTCTCACAGTAAAGTTCTACGGCAGAAGAGCTGTTCAGAGCATAGCCGGATGCTCACAATCCTGACTGATAGTGCTATTGTAGGGGCAAAATAGAGTAGCCTTTCCTCCACACTAAATTTCTGTATTACACAGATTAGCTTCCAGGTTAAGTAGCAGAGCTACAGTATCCCCAAGGGCACCACCTTCACTGATCTCAATGAAACCTACCGGAGATATAGGCTAGAAATTAATTAGAAACTTACTCTAGTGGCAAACAATTATAGAGGAGAAAGCTGAAGTGGGCGAGCTGCAAATGAAGTATTTTTGTGGCTATGCCTCTGATGGGACTGGCACAAATTTCATTGGGGAAGTATGAGAAGCCTAAATAAATATGTTTGTAATACAGTTTGTAAATAAAACTTCAAGAAATATCCACAGTGAGAATTATTTGATTTTTATGGAGCAAATACTGCTTTTTCATAAGAACCATACAAAAAAAATTAAATAAAATCCCACAGTTAGTGTTGGTTTAAATAAACCTTCTAGTAACTAAGACATTATTAAATTATGCTGATATTGGTATTTTCTACGTATGTACATGACTTTGGGTGTGAAAGTATAGTAAACAGGGCAAGCACCAGAGTCACAAACTCTGTGGTTCTAAACCTAGTGGTAAGAGGGTTGTGTTTGCTTGTGCTTCATTTTTTCAGTCATTTTGCAAGATGTTTATGAAATTTTATGAGAAAAAAGCAAAGAATATATTTTCCAATGCACCTCTACATAACTAATATGCGGCTTTTACACATGCTGGCAAATTTCCTACGTATAAAACTACAGAACCGAAAGAAATTTTTGTTACATGAGAAACAAGAGGCTGGCAAAGCTGGCTTTAAGAGGAAAATGAAATGAAGTGATGCCCAGTGCTACCCAGCAGACGCCAGGGTGCAAGGAGAGCACAGGCAGAACAGCTCATGAGAGCTTCTATTTCCGAGTGGTGGAATCACAGCCAGGTTCAGGTTGAAGGGATCTCTGGAGATCACCTGGTCCTAACCCCCACCCACAAGCCCCTCTCCAAGTTACAGCCAAACTACTACAACTACACGTGCTCTTCTGAGTGGGAGAGGCAGTTTACAATGCAAAACTCATCCACCTCTTGATTCAAAGTAAGTACAGGGAACATAAAGGCATCCTTCTACAGATACAGCTACTGCCACTTTGCAGAGGTACTGCTCCAAAAGACCTCAAATGCAATGTATTATTTATTGAGCCATGCCACCCACATGCATCAAACACAGAAGTAGTGAAAAATGCATCTTCACAAGGACAGTAGTTGAACTAGGCAAAAGCTAAGCATTTCCAAGCCTTGGCCCGTTGAACAAGTCATAAAAGTCAAACAAATCCTTTCTGACTCAGCATCCTTTTCTCTCCCTTTCTTGCAGCCAACATCTCTTCTTCAGCAATGCAATTAAGGCCGCCCATTCCTTTTAGCAATAGACACTTGATTAGACCCTTTGGGTCAAGCTCAGCTTTAGCAAGGCCAGGCCAGAACTATAAGGCTATTTTTAATAAAAGGAAAATCTTACTGGTTATGGCAGATTAAACTGAAGTAACTCAAGTAACCATGACACTACATGTATTTCACTCCATTTTTCTGGTATATATGTAGAAATATTTTTGGAGGAGGCCTGGCAAGAACTATTTTCCTCACTGCTGCTGTTCAAGAGAAATCAGAGTGAATTTGGATGCTGCTGAAGTTCTGCAGTCCAACATTTTGCCACTTGATGGCACCAGCAAAACACTTAAATTTGATCAAACTACTGAGATTTTAGATTAACATAATTTAAAGTGTAAATGTAAATGATTCAAAAGTAGAAAATGAACAAGTTACACCTCTCACATTAGCATTGATAGCTAAACCATATTAGAAACCTGAGAATAATTCTGCAACGATTTCTGTCAGTTATCTTTATGGGACTATGAGTGGCATTGTTGGACTCCACCGCTCTCCTTTGACCCTCCCCGCGAGGTACCTGCTCCCCATTTTGTGTAAACTCAGACACTCTAAAAGAGCAGGAGAGCTAATTGTAAACAGGCCACCGAAGCTGCACAAGGAAACCTGCAACACTGCTCTTTGTAGTCCACTGCTTTTTGCAGGCTTCTCTCTTTATTACCTCATTACAGCACACAGCACAAGCAGAAGTGAGTTTGGTTAACTAAAAGAGTGTACAAGCCAAAACTCTTTTTTGCTGGGACAGCTTACGACCTTTGACCAGCAATGCACATTAGAGACATTGGCTGTGCTGCTTTGGCAGAATTTGATTACAAGGTACAAAGAAGTACCAAGTTTCCCTGAAAGTTTCTTCCTACAAGTTTCCTAAGCACTAAGTGACAAGAACTAGCCCGTGCACTTACGTAAGAAGCACCTTTAAAGTTGTTTTAAAACCAACATCCATGCAAAGTGGACATTCTCATGTTGCAGAGTTAATCTGGGTGGTTCTGTTTGATTACCTAATCCGTCCTCAAGAAAACTCCATCAACTGCAGTGGAATGATGCTGGGGAATAATCTGGTTCACTGTGACTTGCTAGTCAGATAAGTGTCCTGATATGTGACATTTATATTTGTATCCCTGAAACAGCAGAAACATAGATATATTGTGGAGTAAATTTAGAACTGCCCTTCGCATGGGGTGGGGGGCCTGCTGTGTTTTCAGTAATTCCCAGGCTGGCCAACCTCAAATGCTTCTTGATTAAGGATGCTCTGGGACCCATTCATGTCATAACAAGAGCCTCCCTCATGCCAGCTCCTCACCAGAATGGATCATCCGTGTACACAGGCTGAGGTAGAGATCA